AAAATCACTTGCCATAAGTCACACACACAACTATTTAATACTTCAACATGGATTGCAGGGCTCTACACTTTCATAATGCTTTAATGATTTATAACAGCAGATTCTGTAATTAAGGGGAATCAGAAAACAATACAGACAGCAAGTCTCCAGTTTGTCTTTCCTTTTTCGCCATCTCCTTCTATGGGATGACAGGAGCTTGCTTTCAGCACATGGAGCACGCAGAGAGTTTACACTGGTGCTCAGGTCTGAAATACACTGCCTTACACATGTGGCTGTTCTTGGAAGTCAACCATTTCTGCAAGTTATTCTCTAGAGGTATGATGCACTATAAGCACTTAAGAAATGTGTTGCACTGTGACTGAAACCAAGATGAAACAGCAATATTAAAAGAGATGTTTTAGTTTATGTAGTGGCCAACTATGCCATTAAACTAGAACAATGGAGATGGTGGGGAGGCAGGAATGTTTTCCAGTGTCATTTATGCCTTTCCAGCAGCATGGAAACTTTTCCTATAGGCCTGAAAATGATCCTGTCTGACAAGTGGAAGTCAGCATTAAGATGTAAGAGTTCTACTAGATTAGTCACTTTGGGATCCTCCGCTCTCACACAACACCAGGATCTCCAGGCCCTCTGCCAGGATGGGTCATTTCAACCTCCCCGCCCCACAAACACCGTACCTCAGCATCATCGGTGTCAGTCATTTCAGAGCAAGATACAATGAAGCTTAGAGACTTGATTAAAAATACACAAAGAAGGCTCTACCACAGAGTCAAAGGTAAAACAAAGGTTTCCTCGATTCTACGCTTTCAGGAAACATATAAGCATATATCCCCCTTCGAAGGATCAGGACTTGCTGCAGTTGAGAGCAACTGGGTCAGCCAAGGAAAGAGGAAACATCAGTTCAACGATACAGTGCTATTCTCACCAACAAGATCTGTTCTGCCCAATGACACACGTGGGAAAGGCTGGCTGTCTTGCAAACACTCAAACCCTGCAGATTTTAAACTTCTGAATCAACCACATGCACAGTGGTCCTGTGCAGCTACCTGCCAGTTGTGCTCTGGGAATCACATGCTAGAGAGTGCTCTGTGGCCCTCACAGAAAATGAAGAGAGCCCCTAAATATATTCCACAAGACCTCTTCTCCACAGAGGGATGATGAGTCCAGAGACCTCTAAAGGGACAGGATAGTAGGGGCAGTTTGAAGTTTGAAATGCCGCATTTAGAAGAGACAAATCCAACTACTGGAGACGCTCTCTGCACGTTGATCTTTTAATGACCCCTAATACACCGCTGTGAGGGCACAGCACAAGGAACAGGCTGAAGCCCGAGGTTCAGCCCCTGCCAGTCATTACTTTGCAGCCCAGCCCACCGACAGTGGGACCACGTGCCGTTCCACGGGATACACTTCTTGCAGACACCTCCCTCAAAACCAGCCTTCTGCCCTCTTCCTTCCATGAAGAGCCACAGGGTACTCCCCAGCCTCGTGCTGCTCTCCTTGCAGCCTGATCCCAGTCTCGAGGATGCCACATCAGACACCTACTCCTGGTGAGCAATGGCGTGTGACCAGAGCTCATACTGCAGGGCAGCAGCCACACAAGTGCTGAAATCTATCTCCAGATGGATTCTGAAACGCGGAGTCAGCTCACAGGGATGAGAGCAGCCCAGACGGTTCACATTACTGCAAGGATGGAGCATCAGGCAGAAACAGACAGATACTGAGATACCAGCCAGCTGGTGTACAGCAAATGCCTGATTTTTCAAAGCACAACCCACCTCTTCCTTTTATCTCTCCTACTGCTGTGGCTGCTTCAAGAGACTAAACAAAGTTCTCTCTCTCCTGATGAAGCTGCGCGACTTACTAGATCCCAACCTCCACTCTAAAACACTCCTAACCTCACAAGCTCTTCAGCTGAAGGAGGACAGCCAAAGCTGACATAGTAAAACCAAGCATTTTCTTGCCCAAAACCCAAACCTCCCCCTTCCCACCAACATCTGTTTCAAAATAATGCAAAACACATCGTGGATTCAGTTCCAGCTTCACTCCAGGTATTTCTACTTTTATTATGTAAAATATGCCTGGGAGGGACTGATGGGTTTTTGTGTTTTTTCCTCCTAAAAAGGAAATGTAGGAAGGAAGAGATGACAAAATTCACTTGTGTTGTACACATTTGGGGCTGCTCTCATTCAGCTCCAATGCTGTCAAAAGTGTAAATGCCAAATTTGCTCACATTTCTCTTGTAGTGGAAAGGGAAAAAAGGGAGAGATCAGCTGACCACATGCAAGCATTTAGCAACCTGCCTGTTGCTGCCTGTCATTGCCCTCTCTGAGCAATGGTGTTTCACAATCGGAAATATGAGCAACTGCCCAGCTGTGAAATCCTCAGCTACGAAAGCGTGATCCAGAGTCAGGAGCACAGGGAGTCAGGACTGTGGCAACACTGATGCTAGAGTGCTCTCAAATTTTAAGTGGGGCATACACATCTTTTATAGTATTGGAAGAGACTCTACTTCTAGCAGCAGCAATTGGCATGGACTAACCCCTCTCCATAGAGGGCCAACAGCCTGATAATCACAGAACAAACTGAGCTCATAGCTTGACCAGGAAGCCTGCTCTTGACCCACACAACTACTTCCCTCAATTTAAGAGACTTTGAAGTAATCTCCTGGGGACATGGCTTTGCTGCTGTCAGAAGCACTGCTTTGCAGCCGCCATGGAACACAGGTCTTGCACTAGAGATCTTCATAGGAGTGGAGGCAAGACCCATTCAAGCACCTCTGCTCAGAACTAAAGCTGCTGCCCTCAGCCTCAGTGCTTCCTATGAGGATTGGTCACTGCCTTGACAGCTTTTAGAGATACCTTCAGGCGCACACCCACACACATGCAATATGTCCTAAAGCTGCTACGGTTTGTCCAAAGTGAATAAATCCCTAAGACCTGGCTCTGTTCACAAGTGACTGAAATCGGGGTCTCTATGTCAGTGGGTTTGCCAAGCCCATGTGGCAGCATGCTCAGTACAGTGACGGCAGCTGCTGCCACCAGCAATCCACCAGCTTTGCTCCCCCATTGTTTGCAAGGAGAGTCCAGGCAGCAACAGGGGAGAAAAACAAATTGTAAATACAGGATGTATTATGAAACACTGGGCACTGCTTGGAAGATCTGAGGGGAAGAAAAGGAAAACGTAGTAATTTTTTTCTCAACTTCGCTTTCCAAATCTGCTAAGAGTCAGTGGGGTTTAACCAGTTCAGTGTTACATTTCAATTCTGCAACACTACAAGTGGGCTTGGGTAGGTACTTTGTTCGGTATCAAACAAACCACTGCTCTGCCACACATAAAAGAAGGCAGCAGGAGACAGAGTTATCACGCACAGTACTGCCTAAAGCATGCTGGCTATGTCAACAGATTATCTCGCTTTGGTCTTCCCAGGCTGTTAGTAATATGCAACCCATCCAACAACAACGATGCTATGAAATTATCAGTTTTTTTATGAAATTATATCAACCTCTTCAGTTTAATTAGCATGTTAAAATTATGAAAGGAAAGCAGATGTGACCACCATGGATGTCGAGCTGAATATTAATAACCAAAAGCATCCCCACCCCCTTGGAGGATAAAGCAAAGTTGGATCAGTCATTTTGCACATTAAATCCTGGATGTGTTCACACGTAGCTGTCAGTAAACCTCTTGTAGGTGTGTGCACACACAAAGCTGGAGCCAAAAACAATTTTACTAGGGCAAACCTTTAAAGATCTAGCCACAGCACAGCCAGACGACAAAGCCACAGACTGACCGGCCACATTTCTCCCTGCACACATGCTTGTAAAGAAAATTAAATAAATGTTCCACACTGTCACTTGCTGAAGAGCTAACACACACTGCCCTTACACTAGCCAAGAGTAATGTGAGTGCTTGCAAGACAAAAACTAGTGGCCCATTATTTCTGAGCTGATGGTGCCATGGTCTGTGCGTGGCATTAGCACCACATGTCATTCCAGCCACACTCCACTATTCTTACTCACGAGCACATTTTTTCTGTTAAAGAGACACCAGTTTAGAGGATTCCAACTGGCGTGTCACTTCTGCCAAAAAATCACCTCCATAAACAGGGCTACAGGGAGGAATGCTGCCTTCCCTTTCCTTCCCTCTCCTGGCAGATAACTATTTATATGTCTATGCATTTGGGCTCGTTGTTAATTTTATACAGCTTCTTTCTGTCACCAGTCATCATTTCAATGCATTCATAATACTCGATTTCCACCTTTAGAACTACCCTGATTCTTCCTGCATGGAACCAGAAGGCACTGGTGATGGGAACCAGCCAGAGGCGGCATTGTCTTAAGGCACAGCGAGAAGCGTGCACTTCTCCTCACGTTCCAAAAAAAAAAAAAAAAAAAAAAAAAAAGAGAGAGAAAAGGAATAAAAATGAGTTGCCCCCCTGCTTACAGAATTCAGAATTCAGCTTCAAAGCTTTTGCCTCCATGCACCTGCCCGCCCCCGCTTCTGCTTTCAGCTAGGATTTTTATTGACATGTACTAATTACCTGAAAATAAGAATGATCTACTCCGTTTCCACCAGCTGCTAGCTGTCAGCACTGGCTGGAAGTGATCAGCCTCACTTAAAAAAACAAAAAATAACGAAAAAAAAAATAATGAAAAACTAAGCTCAAAAACGAAAGGAAATAAAAGCAGGAGTGGTGACAAAGGCAGACCTGGCGGCTGTCACCGGGCCTCAGGTGCTCGGACAGCTGCGGGCAGGCAGGGCTGCACGGGCTGCTCAGCTGGCCGTGGCAAAAAGACAGAGACGTACAGCTCTACCCACGCGGAAAAAAAAAAAAAAAAAAAGGAAAAAAAAAAAAAGGAAAAAAAACAACAATGAAAACCAAAAGGAAAACAACCAACCCTGAATCAGAGAACAAAAAATGAAATAAAGGCAGAAGCGCAGCCCCGAGGCACCGACTGCCTGCACTTAAGAGATTTACAGGAGTAACGTAAAGCATTCACCTGCTGCCAGTTCTCCTCCAAGGATGGCAAAGCTGAGAAGTAGCCGGTGTCGTGGACAAGCTGCAGTTCCTGGAATATACTATAACTAGCCAAGACATCCATGCTGCTGCCGGCCGGCCCCTGCTCTGCTTTGTGTGTGTTTGTTTGCTCTGGAGGGGGGTGTTTGGGATCATAAAAAAAAAGAGGAGGAAAAGCAACCAATGATAGATCCAGCGTCCCTTTTGCTTTGTTTTGTTTCAGTCACACTTCAAAAAAAAAAAAAAAAAAAAGAAAGAAGAGAGGAGAGGCGGGCTGTCAGCGCGGAGGGGACGCGGGGCCGGGCCGAGGCGGCCGCGCTCCGAGCACCCCGCGCCCGCCGCACCGGGGCACGTCCCCGTCCCCGTCCCCGTCCCCGTCCCCGTCCCCGTCCCCACCACCGCGGCCATGCGCGCTCGCGCCGCCCTCCCCGCCCCCTCCCCGCTTTATTTTCGGGCCCCCCCGCCCGGTTCCCTCTCACCCTCCCTCAGCAAACCCGGCCCGATTCCCCCCCGCCCGCCGCCGCCGCCTCACGGCCGCCCCGCCCACCCCCCGCGCGCAGCCCACTCAGGCAGCGCGTGACCATGTAGGGTAAACGGCGGGGCGGGGGGGGCGGGGCCGCTTCGCGCCTGGAGTCACGGCGGCCCAATGGAAGCGCGAGGAGGGCTTCGGGGGCGGGGCTTAGCCGCCGACTGCTCGTCGATTGGCTGGCGGCGAGGCTCCCGCCTTCTCCCCGCGGCTCGCGGGGCGGCGCGCGGCGAGCTATTTTTAGGGCGCTATATAACGGGGCGGCGGTGCGCGCGGTGGCGGTAGAGCGAGGGGCGGCGCGGGGCTCCTCTCGCGCCTCGGGCTCGCGGCTTTTGCCGCTTTCAGCAGAAATCCGCCGCTCTTGAGCGGCCGCGGGGCGGGCGGCCGCTGCGCCACTCCCCGCCGCTGGGCGTGCGGCCCGAGGGGAAGGCCGGGGTGGCTGGGCAGGGAGAGGGCCGCTTTCGTGCCGGGGGCTGTGAAGAAGAGAGCAACCCGTGAGGCCGTTCGTAAGGGGACGGAGCGCGACGCTCGCTGAGCGAGGGAAGCGCGCTGCCGTGAGGCCGTCGCCGCTCCTCGTCAGCGAGGGATCCGCGCGCTGCTGGCTTCAAGCACCGCCTTGCGGCCGCGGGGCCTCAGCTGGCGCGGAATGGTGCGGGGCCCTGACGCACCTCGTCCTGCCTGTCCTGCCCTGACTGACGGGAGAACGCAAAACTCATCAGTGTGAATTAGTTCGTGGTGCGTTGTCTTTCTCAGTGATGAAGACAAATTGCCTTTTCCGAGATCGAGTCCGTGTAGCAGTTAGAGAGGCCCCTCTTGAAGAATGCTTCTGAGAATAAAGCAGTTTCCCAGACAATGGCTGCGCTGAGGCACGTGTCTTCCAAGCTGCCGATGGGCAGCGCTGCCATCGTTTTTAAAAAACAGTAAGCGCCACACCCTCATTTTGAGAGCCAAAACATGGAGGAAAAGTGGCAAGTGAAGCTGCTCCTCAGTAACTGGGAGAGACTGGGCAGAGGGCGTTTTTTCACGTAAATGGTCTCACCTATACCGAAACACGTGTGTGTTTGCAGGCTTTGACCCCTGCCTTCATGCTCCTTCCTGCCAAAGAGCTCAGCGCAGGCTGGGGCCAGGCTCAGAAGGATGCCTATTTCTCACACTGCGCCTCAGGAGCTGTTGGTTGTCTCGAGCGTGGCTATCTCCAACGCTTTCATCCTCACAGAAGAGCTGGATGTGAATAATAAATTGCTCTTTCTCATAAATACACCCACAAAGGTGGCAAAGCGCGTGTTGGCAGGAAGAGGAGAGGGAAGGTTAGCGCAGTGAGCGATGCTGAAGGTCCTCCAGGCAGTCGTTACCAATTCCAGGCATGCCTCAGCCTGGCACAGCAATGCCTTTCTGGGACACCTTGAAGAGCAGAGAACTCAGCTAAGGTGGTCAGATCTGGTAAGGAGCAGTAGCTGGGTATTGTAGCACAGCTCCTGTACTGAAAGGCTTTGCAAGAAATAGCTGTTTCAGAAGAAGCTTTCAAAAAGCAGCACTCCTAAAGAGCTTGTCAGAACAAGGCCACATGCATATGTAGAGGCTGTCTCTGACCTAGGCAAGGAAACAGGACAAAAGCAATAAAGATTTATAGCACGAGCTACTTAAACATATGCTTTATGTTCAAATCCTGTAATTCCTGCGGCTGAAAAACATTTTGGTGCTATAATTCTGTCCTTGTTAAGCATAACTACCCTTTGATTAAGTTAGGTGTTTAGTGCTCTGATTGCCAAGCCATCCCTCTAACCCCAGTGCAGGAACAGTGGCCTGCGTGAGCTGTGGATTGCTCATGCTTAGATTTGTTTGAAAGCTCTGTACCTGCAAGCATCTGTGTGCAGACAGCCCAGGAGTCCCCTCTGCTCTGACAGTCACATATGCTTGCACCAAAAAGCTCTGGTTTGAATTGTCACTTAAAATCTTTCTGTCCATCGATTTTGAACTTCCTGCTGAAGGTAGGCCCCTGTAGGAACAGCCTCTTTTCCACCCTTGGACTGGAAGTTGTTCCCAGTGGAACCAACACTTTGCACCAGCAAAAATCCCTGTCTGTGCCCAGGCTGCACTGTAACTGACGGCCAGATCCTGTGAGCAGCTGCTGGTCTGCTGCTCTTTTTGGCTTCAGGAGGAATTGTCTGAGGGCAGGATTTTGGCTGTGAGCCGTGAGGTGAAGAGCTAGGCTACGGATCTGGCTGCATGCCCAGGTGGTTTCCAGGCAGACATTGCATTTTTATTGTCTTGGATATTCTGTTTTGGAGGTCAGTCGAGAAAGCAGAATGGGGTTATCATTTGGCAGAAGTAGAAAAGTCTGGACAAAAAAATGAACGTGATGATACACTGAGTATAGTGCTCTCAGTCCGGCATCTGGGATAGCGCATACCTGTGCTAACACAAAGGTAATGGAAAGCAACTTTTGCCATACTCCTTTGTTTTTCAGGATACACTGACCTTACTCCTGGCAGATAGCCACTCTCCCTGCTCTGGCTCAACCACACTGCCCATCAGAGAGCAATGCAATCTCACATGGAGAAGGAGCACCACCATCACACAGCGGGGCTTAATGGCACTGAAGTCTGCGCAAACATAGAGGTAAATGGCGCAGGGTTGGACCTGCAGAAAGTGCAAGGGAGAACATTTCAGCCCTAGCACAGATTTGTCCTGAAATGGGTAAAGATAATAGCCTGTGGAATGATTTTTTAGGCTAGCCCCAAAGGTATCATTGCTGCACTTGCTGAAATGTTGGGAAGATGCAAGGGGTGGTATGGCTGACCATACCATAGTGGTAATGGATCTTGGCTCCTGGGAAGGGGGAAAGGCTTCTATTTTTTGCATTACAGAGCCATGAGAGTGGTTAGTCCTTGTGAAAGGAAAGAAAATGTTTCCTTGTTCCTTCTGTTCTTTTGAAGAAAGAGTAGAGGTGACTTCATTGTTTTCTGGAAAGAGCTTGAATGTCTCATTGCCTGCCACAGGACCTTTGGCAACAATCTCTTCTACCCTCTCCGAGTTGGGAGTGCAGAATTGCCCCCTGCACTTAACTGGGTTTCTGCGATACACCAGTGTACACAGATTCACAATTTTGGTCAGTCTGATTGCTTTCCATCATCATATTTCCAGCCCTGCTGACCCCAGGTGTGATAGTGAGGGGGTGCATAACAGAGACCCAGCAGGGAAGGCTGGTTTGCTGGGAACTCTGGTGTTGTTTGCTTCATTGCTTTAAAATGGACAGTGACAAAGTGCCATAAAGCCATAGGATTGTATATCAATTTATGGTTTAAACGTTTCACTGAATTTATTCCCTTTGGTACCAATGAAACAGTTATGCTTAGATCCCCTGTATGCAGCTCAGGATACAGTTTTAAAACCCATGGTCTTCATAGGCAGTAAAAGTACTGAAGCACTTTCTCCAGCAGGGGCAAGTTATTCTAGGTGTGTAGGCTATGGGTTCTTTCAACTGTCACATCTGTGTGTTGTCCTGCCATATGCGTTTCTGCCTTTCCCCCCTTGGGGTTTTAGGTTAATACAGCTTTCCTGCACTTACAGCCTGCAACAAGGCTGTTAAAAAGCGTTGGTCCTTCAGTCAGTGTCCCTCCTGAGGTCAAAGAGGCTCGGTGAAGCCACTTGCATAAAGTGAGGAGGAGGACTGGCACTAAGAAGCCTGCTGAGTTTACATCTGTAGCCTCTCCAGGAGTGGGTGCAGAAAGCTATTGCCAAGCAAGCAGGCTCATCTTGGTGCTGGCGTGGCTGGAAGACGCTTCAAGAGATGCAATGGGACAGCTCTAAAGCCAGCTTCAGACCTCAGTTTCCTAGAGGAAGGCCTCTGCTGTTGGCTCCGCATCTTCCTCTTGCCCCTGCACAGCACTATTTCAGTGACATGAGAAGTAGTTCAGTGTTTCACATTTCCTAAAATTTTCTAAACCTTCTCTAAACTGCGTGACTGTACTGCCAGGAAGGATGCTGAAGATCCCATCTCTTCCCTTCAACAGCTCATCCTGGGGAAATGCAATGAGAACATGAGGAAGAAAACCTTTTTTTTTTTTTTTTTCCCTTTTTTTTCTTCCAAATAGTGTGGGGAGCAAAATATGCAGGTTACACCCCACATCACAGACACACCATTTTGTTGTCACTTCTCCAGCATGTTTGTTCTACTCTGTTCCTCTCCAAACTGGCTCATTGGTCAGGCTTTACTCACAAATGTCTGCGTGTGTGTTTCCACCTTGCATTTTTTGCTCTTCCACACCATCCACCAAACAGCTCCTCTAAATGCAGATGTTCTTGGTGCATGGGGAGCTTTTCCTGTTTGCACTGTCCGTGAGGGGAAAGCATAAGTGGATGCTTTTTGTTGCCCCTCAGGGCAACACAAAAATTGAGGACAGAGGGACATCAGAGAGATGCAAATTGTGGTGCTGTGATCCTCTGCATTGCTGAGAAGGTAGATCTCAATAGAAATATTTAAGCTAGAGCTAAAGCTGAATACACTTCATCTTCTAGCAGGTGCAGCCCAAAAACAGCATCCCAAGGACAACTGGGGAAGAAGTGATTTCCCCTCCTGTCTCTATCCATGGGAGCTGGCATAGCTGTGGCCTCTGCTAGAGCTGGGAGGCAATGCTGTAACATTGCATTCACCTTGCATTCACCTTGCACATGGCACTGCTTGGTGTGAAGCAGGATATCTGCATCTCTGCTCTAGACCTGCATGGCTGGAGGTGACCTGCATTGCTTCCTGGCCTGTGAGCTGCTCTCTGAACCTCCAGTGATTGAACAGGTGTCTAGCATGAAGCACTGCAGGTTCCTGTGTCTTTCCTCCTTCCTAAAAA